CAATTGGAGCAGACCAAAAATAATTATCACAACCACCTGCGTTGTCTTCGTTTACTATGGTTGTGAGTTCGGCTGTGTGTTTCTGAGTAACTCCTGTTGTGGTGTATACCTGATTTGGTACTATTTGTACCTTTTGATATACCACTGCCTTCGGTTTCAGAACTTTGGATTTATCTTGGGATATCCGTGCGAACTCAACTGAATTTTCAGATATAAGATCTTTGGTGGGTTCGCTTTTGACAAATTCTAAACAGTCAACCACATCCTCTACAGAAATTTCACTCATATCACTGTCCTCGTCAAATTCAGAAGTGTTTTCTACATTTATCTTGTTTTCTGAACTCAACTTGGTACTCAATGAGTCAAATTTATGCATGGTTTCGGTCTTGATTTTCAATTTATCATTTTCGTCCAAAAGGTTTTTAAGCATGTCCTTATGGTCTTTGGACTTGATAAAGGACTCGATTTTGTCCAGACCGAATCTGTAGGCGTCAGAAGTTTCTTCTGATGAGACAATCGATTCACATTTATAGCAATCTGCGTCTATTTCGTCTTCCTTTAATTCAAGGAAAGGCAAAATCATTTTGTGAATCTTATCTCCAATCTCATAATTCAAATACAACTGAGTAATATTGAAATAAAGACGTTTAGCAATTAAGCTAGAAAACTTGAATTTTAATTCATTTAAATCCTTTTCATAGTTAGTAACTGGTATTTTCAGTGATTCGAGTATGGATTGTACCTTCTTGATCAACTGATCACATTCGTTGATCTGCTCACCCATTGGTTTGGCGGCGAAGCATCTGTCTTCTCTTTCCTTCGCTTCAACAGACCCGCCATCTGTTGTGTAGCCTCTCATTTGTGATACTCCAGCAGTCACCATTAAGCACCTTCCAGCAAACTCAGCACTATCTCCCTTCGCCACAAAAGCTCTGTCATGCGAGGCCTTGCGGACTTCTTCATCTTCAGAGTCGGTAGACCAAACCTTTACTCCTCCGAACTCATCATCAACTAAGTTCTCCTGCACAATCAAAGCATTCATAGAGTTGTTAGAGGTTTTCTTCTTCTTTATTTCTTCCATTTTGCGTAGGTAATACGCTTCATCATCTTCTCCATCCTTCTTCTCGGATAGCTTTCTCAACATACAATCTTTGGCAAAGTGATTTTTGTCGTGACAAAAATTACAGTCATATCCGGAGTCACCTGCGAGCTTGTTCTCCTTCTTCACTTCTTGCTAAGGAGCGTTTTTAACCTCCTCTTTCGCCTTTTCTGAACTGTAGCTCCCTTGCCAGTTTCGGTTCTTGGAGGTGGGAAACTTTTTGCGAGCAAACTTCTTGGGATTGGAGATCATTAATGCATATTCATCATTTTTTCAGATCACATTCAGAGAGATCCAACTCTTCTTCTTCTTCAGCCATGTTCTTGCCCTTTGAGAGAAGGGCCAAAGATCCCATACCAGACACCACCTTCGTTTCCTTAGTCACTACACTTTCATGTGACTTGAGTATTCCAACAAGCTTCGCCAACGAATTTTTGAACTGTTCATGAGCTTTCACAGTCGATATCACAGCCATCCATTCGGGTTTTAAGCCATTCATAAAAGTGACCTTCTGTTCGATCACTTCTCTTCCAATTCCGTGCTTGATCATCTTACTGAGAAGATGGTTGAAACCATTGAACGCCTGAATGAGTTTTTATTCTTGCTTTTGCTTGAAGTCACCGAATTTTGAAAGCAGAAGAGTTTGAATTGAATGCTCCGGATCTTCATCGGTGGAATATAGCTCCTTAAGCCTATCCCAAATTTGTTTTGCCGTCGTGCATGAACTAACCAGATGAAAAGTATCTGATTGCAAGGCAAATCTGATCATCCTCATAGCTTTAATGTTGCTCATCAGTTTGTCCTTCTCATCTTGAGGAACTCCCTCTACGTCGATCATCAGCTGATTGTACTCCTTTTGAGTTGTGATGACTTTATTAGTTCCAGAGTGAGAAAACGGACCCAAGGTGATAGCTTCCCAGATTAGATACCCATTATCCTCTTAACCAAGAACATAGTCTTCAAAGTGATGCGTCCAGACTTCATAATCTTGAGTGTATAAAATCGGGATTCTCGTAGTAGATCCGATGCTGTTGGATATGTTGATGGGGTTTGTTTGTGAATCTTTGTGAGACATGATGACCTGTTTTGAATATCTGTTAAGAACCAGACTTGTAAAGGTTGAATTAGGGTTTTATCAAAAACGTGGAACGACGTCAATAAATGAGATGACGACTCCAACTATTTCAACAAAAGCGAAAACCCTAAAGAGATTCTTCCAACAGAAGAGATGCGTATGAATTACACAGCCTCCTGCTCTGATACCAATTGATGAGAATTAAGTTCTCTAAGATCATTTAGATTCGTAACAGATTTGGTCAAACACAGTAAAAGTAAAGAACACACGATGAATCAAACAAGAGCTGAATGATTAATATGCTCCACCTCAGAAGAGCTCGATAAAGAACTTCGACTGTAGAGGTGTGCTATGGTTACAGTACAATGATGGAATAATAATTATTAAGCGTATAGAGAAAGATGCATGCATGCATCTTATATACTAAACCCTAATGACATAAACACGACTGGACAGGCCCAGTACCGTAATAACAATGGACCGAAGAAACAGGCCCAATGACGCAACTCTTAGACCCAACAGGTTGACTGAAGTCATTATTCTTATTGTCTTCCATGTTCTAGGGTGGTGGGGAGACTAAGCTTAATACTACTAGACAATCTTTTGATTCAAGATTCTTATTCTAATTCATTTGCCTAGTTTTCCTTGATAAACTTGTTTACTTTCAAGAGGTTACCTTATATGTGACTTCCAAGGTTTTCCTTGTAATAGAGTTACAATTTAGACATTGTTTGATCCAAATATTTTGGGTTGTCACATTTGATGTTTAGGATTTCATTTAAAATCAACTTATTGACTTATTAGCTTTTTGAAAAGTCAATAAGTTAAAAAAAAAATTGTTTGCCAAATATGAAAAAGACTTTTAAAATAACTTTTCATTGACTCTTTAAAAAAAGAGATTTCAACAAGTTACGATTTCTAACTTTTCAAAACTCTTTATAACTTTTTAGGTTGTAAGAGCTAAAATACCATTTAAATGATGTATAAATTAAAACAAACACTTTTTAAAAAATAACTTATTGACCTATTGACTTTTCTCACCATAAAAACTAATTTAAACCCTTTTTCCTACGAACACACGAAAATAAATCATTTTATCTAAAAGTCCTTTTGAGGTTCAAAATGAATCTATTTTCAATAAAAAAAAAATTTCTATCTGAACGTAATTTTAATATTAAACTAGAAAGGTTACCCCGCTACGCGGGGGCCAGAAGCTTTCAATGTTGTTTCCGAATTGATAAATATGACAGACATAGAAAGTGCAAGGATGAAAAGTCCGGGCTTTGCCCCGGAAAAAAAAATGTAAAAGTTTTGACTGCAAGGACCAGAAGTGTGAAAATGGCTAAATAATTAAAGGGGTAGGAATTAGCAACTTTTTAGAAAAGGGATCAAAGTTGTCAAACCGTTAGAGTTTTGTGGTCAAACTTTAAATATTAAAAGGTTCCAAAAAAGTGTAAAAATATTGATTGCAAGGACCAAAAGTGTCAAAATGGGTAAAGAATAATGACCAAAGTTGCCAAAAAACATCCAAATTTAGTATTCCTAACTTCCAACAATAATACAGGGACCAATTCTGCCAAAAAAATGGGAAGTTGAATGGAACACAAACCCAACAATAATACAGGGACCAATTCTGCCAAAAAAATGGGAAGTTGAATGGAACACAAACAAAAGGACATGAATAAATTAATTAAAGAAGTACAGGGACCGGATATGTAAATCAAGGGACCAAAGCTGGACAAAGTATCCCAAGTTTACTATTCCTTTCTTCCACAACTTTAATATATATATATATAATAATTGCTTTCGATTATTTATTGCTAATTCTCCCTTGTCAAATTAGTGAATTACTGCCCACTCTCTTCCTTAGACACCTTGTTATGTAGCATATATTTGTACAAGTTTTGGAAATGTTTCATTTCGTTGCGTTACATATGGTTTTTTGTTTCACTTTCACCTTCATACGACTTATTTGTTTACATGAATTGAATATGAGTTAACCTAGCATTAAAAGACGAGACCTGCATAAAAACTTATGTTTAGATGAAAAAAGTTGTTGGTTTGACTGTTTCTGACTGTAACAAACCAAGTTAATGATAATCTTCTTTTACAGTTGAGTTGAGAATGAATACAAATTTAAATATGTAAAAGACTTGTTTAATGATAATGATTGACGTTATTTATTTTATTTTCATGATATTGCAGTTTTTTAAGTTATGAACGTTATGCTCAGATTGTTTTTTGTTAATGATAAACATTGATATGTTTTTATGAAATATGTTTTTTGAGTTTTTATTATTATAAAATAAACGTTCTTTTTTTTTTCTTCATTGGTAGAAATTTTTTTTATTTTTTTCACATCTTCCTTTTTTCAAATCTTAATTTGGCAATTTCTCTATTTAAGCTTATAGTTTTTCTTGAAATTTGGCAGACATGTAATTGTCTGTCTCCATGCCCATAAACCCATAAATCTTTTATCCTACAACATTAACATATACTCTTGTGGTTCCATTTTTTCCAAAACCATTTACATCTACTATTTAATCTATTATTGAGAAGAATTATGGCCATTTGTTTTTTAATGAAAAAAAAAAAGCAGATGTGAGATTCTCATTGATAAAACCGTACCTGTTGTACTAAATGCTCCGCCAGTCGCACCTTTTTAGAGGTGCGACACAGTCTAATCTACTACTAAAACTAGTCTTTAATTCCAATTATGTCCCAGACCCCTTAAACATCATGGAGATACCTCTAGGCCTAAGGACTGTTGGTAGCAAATAGTCACATGTCTACTTGAAATGAATAGTAGAATTTGAAAGCTAAAATCCATACTGAGCAATGAACCCCACCAGTTGCTACAACATTTATAGCCCAAACAAACAGAGAGCAAAAGGTTTAAGAAACCAATTCTAAACTAAATTTATAGTCATACCGTACCATACTAATATACTATACCTTAAATTTATCAAATTAAGGCAAGGCCCCAACACAAATACCTACCTTACCTTAAGCTTTAGTGCTTTCCCCAAAATCTGGATCTGGATCTGGATCTGGATGTGGCCCTGAAAATATATCTCAAGCATTTAAAGCCAGCCTGGTAAAAGAGAAGAGATCTTTTCTATGGTAATAAATATATGAGATGCTCTCCCCAAAGCATTTACATATTTCCTTTGTCCTCTCTCTCTCGAGTGTAGGTCTTGTTTTTATACAGTGACCACAATGCACTTTCAATTTTCATATCCCCATATACCATCCATACCCCCCATGATTAACAGAGAGAGAGTATTTACTAAAGATGAGATAGTTGGAACTGGAAATGGAAAAGCAAGCAAGATTACAGAATGTTTAATAAGTAGAACAACTCACCTCACCAGTAGTAGTCGGTAGTCCCTCCTAGGCTACATGATGATTGATGATTCAATATCTATTATTATTATTATTATTATTATTGTATGCCTTCCCATAGTCTTCATGCCTTTGACTTTGATGCTGCTGAAACTCTCCCCCATAACTGTCATGTGATCTCGAAGAAGGATAGTTGTCAATATCTGGATACCTTACCCTTAAATCCATTCCACCACCATAACCAGAATTCTCATATTCAGGGTAACCATCCTGTTTATAACCACCAAATCCTGAAGCAGGAGGAGGAGGAGGAGGAGGAGGCTGCTGACGCCTTTGAGCCTCAACTTGAAGAAACTCTTCCCACTGCTTTGCATGCATTGCTCGCACCATACCAAACCTCTTCATGTAATCTTCTCTCATTTCCCTCACAGCCTAATAATAATAATAATAACTAATAACTAAGTAATAGACAAATTATACATATATATATATATATATATATATATATATATATATATATAATTAAAAAGATACGACACTGCGTATGTAGTAGTTAGTGCATACCTGACGATGTCTGTTATTTTCTTCATCTTCTTCCTTATCTCGAATTTGTGTCATCTCCATTGCATCCCTCTTATATTCCAATTGTAAGTCCTCCAACGTCTGTGGGCTGTTACTGCTAGATTGCTTGTCACCATCCACCCATCCCTTGTTCCTTTGCATCGCCCCTGCCCCTGCCCTTCGCTCGTCATCATATGAACCACCACCACTGTAAGGAGACTTTGAATGGGTTGACCGACCCCGGGCACCATCATTCCCATAAGCTTCACCAAATGAAGAGTGTGTGTTAAACACTTGGAGACTCAAGACAATCTTAAACTCAACCCATCTGGATACATGTATCAATGTGTATATCCGTTCAACCCACAAACTTCACTCATAATTCTTGAACATAACAACACTTACCTCTCGCTGCTGCTGCAAATCAAATTAAGGATAACCAACAAACAACATTACTATTATTATTATTATTATTATTATATGATTTTATTTTGAGGCCAAGGGTCTTAAACTACACAAGCAAGCATAATGTTATTGATATCCCTTACCTAGTTGTGGGGACCCCCTGGGTAACCTGTGCACATCTTCAATCATCTTCTCTTGCCTGCTGCTGCTAAACCTCTGGTTATAATGTGACGGATTTCTAGGACTAGGATTATTAGACCTTCCGATTCTAGAGCTAATAGGACTTCTCCCTTCTGGTGACCTGGACCTAGTCACTTTCTTGTCCCCCTCATTTTTAATTTTGTGAACAGCATCTACACCTTTAGCCAATATCAGCCTATCCTTCCCACTGACAATCATAAATTTCTCCTCCATCTTAATTTTGCACCCGATATCCTTCTCAATTTGCCTTATAACCTTCTCGCTAAACAGTGCTTTAACTTGAGGATCTCTTGCAGGAACCCTTTCAAAGAAATCTTGAGACTTGCGATTCGCTCCAAGAGTAGACGGACAACCCTATCCAAATAAATAAATAACTAAACTAAGAACAACCATTTTATAAGATGATGAATCATGAGATTTGAATACCTGAGTAAAGTGGCCAGATTCTCCACATATTTTACAAATCATTTCTTCTTCTTTTCGTTTCTTCCAATTCCTTTCAGTAGCTTTAGATTTCGCCTCCCAGACCTTAGCTTCCCGACTAGTAAAATCAGTGGGAACAGCATTCGGGTCTCGGGTTCCCTCCTCTTCATCAGAGCCAGCATACGATCTTTTCTTTGCTTTTGTAATTGTGGTGTCAGGCCCACTTGTATTACTTCTTGGTGGACCAGTGTATTCCTTGTACAGATCACTAAAATCATCGTCAATGTCTGAATCTTCTCTATTGGACATCTTCAGATATTCAAATAACACCTAATTAACCAAACCCTCTATATATCAAATCAATAATCATCACAATACCACACTTTATACAAACTCAAAACTTTAACCAACACTGCTGACAATTACAGTGTATCTCAACATGTCGATGAACCAAATATAGACACACAATTAGATTAATGAGAGACCATACAAAGCATTTCCTAATACCTACAGACATACCACATAGGCACAACAAGCATGCATATGCATATGCTAACCGATCAAATTATAACTTGGAAGACATTTTTACCAACATGGAACATCAGATTACTGGATTAATCAATTCAAATACTGCATTAATCTTAATCAACTAAGACTACTTCACAAGCGCATAACCCTCAAAAATAAAAAATTAATGGACTGCTTGAAAAAAACAAAAAAGCACTAGTTTATAGACTTGCATGGGATTTGCTAACACATCCTCTTAGTACTAAGTTGTTCTTATAGATTGAGACTCAAACTGCAATCTCTGCTCAGATCTTTCTAAACTCACCAACATGGAGCACCCGAAACCTTTCACCCCTTAGATCAGCAAGATGTCACTTAAGCCCTAAGCTTCTATACATCATTATTAGTGATAAACCGCTCTTGGTAATAGAAATATTAGTCAGACAATTCCACACGTTACACGAGCTTAAATGCAAATACAAGATAACAACCTGTTGCATTGCATTATGGGTAGGGCTGTCCATGACATTTTAGAGGCCTCTTGCAACTTATTAACTTTAGGCCCTAAAACTAGTAAGTTTCAAAAGATATATATATATATATATATATATATATATATATATATATATATTTTTGTTTCAAATCATAATATTATTAGGACAAATGTTTTCAATCAAAATTGAATACCAAACAACCTTACCTTTATCTGAAATTGTCATCTTCTAAACGAAACAAAATTTTCAATTATTTTCTTAATTTTAAGTTTCTTTTTACATTTTTCATATTGAGATTCATATTCTTAAAGTCTAGAAGACATTCTAAAGTATAGAAAGAAACAAAAAAAACTTGATTCGTGAATTGCCTTTTTGACAATCCGGTTTATCCCTTGTTTTGAAACTTGAAAGAAAGAAATTGAATCAAAAGCTTTCATACAATTTGATATCAAAACAAACATGAAACCTTTCTAAATGTAACATACAACATTTAGTCGTTCTAAGCATTTTCACAAGTCCATCACCAAATCTTTTAACAATATATAAATCATATCAGCAAATATGGATCCTTTCATTTTACTTTTGTTATCACCTACTCAATAATTTAGAACCATTGATCTGTTGCTCTATTTTTTTTCTCTTGATATCTCTTATTTGAAAAACACAGGATAAAGGGCAACCATGTTCAAAAGTGAAAACCATACGCTCATTCAAAAGTGAAAACCATGATGAATTTAATTTCTTAATGTCCTTAATCTGCTTTCAGTTAGAAGCATCCTCTACTTATTTCTCATATATTTTTTATTATGATGCAAGGGGATTCAGGGTTTCTTCAACAAAGCTCAATGTATGTTGTACATGTATTTCAAAATCCTAAAGAGCTGAAAAACATTTAAAAAAAAGGCTGGAATTAAGCCGGAAGCAGAGAGAGAAAGTGGAAACTGGCCGGCGTGAGTCGATTTCCGGCGGCAAATTAGAGAGGGTGACAGAGTAAGAGAAGAGAGACGTGAGGGTGAGTCGTGATTAGTGAATGGCAGGCGTGATAGATTGCCAATGAATGATGAAGAAACAAATCGTGAGACGGTAAGTGGCATCCCTCGTCTTCTCCAATATAAATCATAATTATAATCTAACCGAATCGAAATAGCATCTTATAATAAGTATCGATGACAAGCCTTTAGCGGAACAATTCAAAAGAGACGATAACTTTACCGGAGGATAAGATCAGTGAGCGGCGACAGCAATAGACAGCAAAAGGCAGAGCGAGGTAAGGCAGCTAGGGCTCGTTTTTCACTCCTGCCTGGAGAAGCCCTTAATGTTGTAGAAATACGGACTATATGGCAAAATATTACACGGCGAAAACTGAAGTTACACGGTTAATCGATACTAAACAAATGGGTTTGGAGTTTGGATAAAAAAAAAAATTGTTACTTAAACGGTCATTAAAAAAAATCACTTTTGTTTACTTGGACCCGTTGGAGAGGTCAACGCCCACCCACGTTTTTAGAAGAGAAAAGAAGGAAACGGACGTTATAGGAAGTTGTGGTGGTAACGGGAAACAACAAGAGGATTATAACGCACAAAAACGGGGAGGAGGGACGGTGTTTGGGCCGTTACCACGGCGTTGAGGCTTGGCCACGTTGCCCACACCGCTTAGTCTTAAACGGACATAAAATGTAAATAGGTAATCTTATGGTTGAGAATTTCAACTCAAAATAAATAAATAAATAAATAAAAACTTTTTTATTTATATCGACGTTTTTTAATTTCTTTAAATAAACAATAAAAAAAAGACCAAAAACCAAAACCATACGTAAAAGAAAATCTTTGGGTTTATTCATTTTGTAATGTAGAAAATAATTTAGGCGACTATGTCAAAAATTTATTTTCAATTTTTTATTTGATATCTAACAAACTACACAGTCCCTTGACCACTCCCTTATCCTTATGATCGTGCCCTCCACCTCTCAATATCATACTTTTTCTGTTATGCCCTCTAAATTTATCATGAACCATACGAATGTCCGCACCTTACGCATAAATAAAATGAGAAAATGTCACTATATCACATTAAACTTTAGTCATTTTCTCGATTTGGTCACTAAACTTTTTTTAATGCAATAGATCGTTAAACTCGTTATTGACCTGTTAGTTAAACCATTTTAGACTAATTTGAAACGGTTACCCGGTGACCAATCCTATGTGGAATTTAATTTCATTTTCCCTTTTTATTTTTTATTTTTAATTTCATTTTACCTTTTTATTTTTTCATTTTTTCAATAATTTTTTTTTCATTTTAACCATAATAAATTCAAACTTTACATTCTTCATGAAAACTGTAGGATCTTCTTGCTGCAAGATCATCAAAACTCTCTAAGCTTTTTAAAGAAACCCCATATGAAGATCTTTCTCATATTGTTTGCAATATCCCAACAACCCCTGAAATTTTCGAGCTCATGGCAAGATTTTGCTATGATTTTGAAGTCAATTTCACACTAGAAAACGTCATTCTAATTTCTTGTTTAGCTTGTTATTTGGGTATAACCGATAACCACAACCCCAATAATCTTTTAAATCAAGATCCATCATTCTTCGAACACCAAATCATAACAGGTTGGAATGAATCGATCAGATCCTTGAAAGCCACATTTCTTCAACGAGCGACAAAACTAGGGATAATCGATGCTTGCGTTGATTCAATCATCTTAAAAGCATTAAATAAATTGATTTATCTTGGAGAACCGATCGAACCAATCAAGAATTTGGTTCTTTCTGATGAAGATGAACATGGGTTTAATGGTGCTGTGTACAAACCAAACGCAAGGAGATAGCTTTTTGTTCTCGATGGCGGGGTTGTCCCATGTTACTATCCAAATTACTTCAATACGCAATCATTTTAGAAGCTAATAATGATTGTCGAGATGGGTTGAGCTAAGAATTGGGGAACAGTTAGGTTTAGCAATAGTTAATGATCTTCTAATTCCATCTCAAGGGTACTCAAAAGAAGGAAAATACAATATCGAATGTATTAAAATATAATTTTCGATTTGAAAAAGGAATTGTGTAACATCCGGTTCCTGGTATGTATTTGAATAAGATTTATTCATTTTTGCAAAGGGACTCAACGAGTTGGAGGCCCCAAACCCGTCGAGTAGGAATGGGATATTTTTGGACACGGGACTTTAGGTCTACTCGACGAGTTGAGAAACCCCAACTCGACGAGTAGACCTACCAAAGTGAAACCCTAATTTTCAGTGTTTGCACCCTATTTAAGGACCTTAACACCCCCATTGTGGCCTCCCTTAGTCCAGAAAACCCTAATTCGAGATCTTGAGCTTTGTGAGTGTGTATGAGTGAAAAATGAGTGATTCTTTGGTATTTTCTTGAAGGAGTAGAAGCTAGAAGTGCTTGGTTGAGGGAATGAGCTTTGGATCCAGAAGAAGAACTTCATTTCCATCTCATCTGAGGTATAAAGTCTATACATTGTCTATTTGTTCACTAGATCTCTTCATGGAGTAGTTTAGGGCTTTTAAGAGCATATTGTGGAACCATTCATGGATGCTAGCATGTTTTGGTGTTTTGACTTCAAATCTGGAACCTTCGAAGGACTCCATGGCATAAAGGTGCCAACTTTATGGCCATGGGAGTCCCATGCAACTTGTGAACCACATTTTAGGGCTTTTTGAGCTAAATAACCCATGCATGAACGTAAAGTTTGAAACTTTACGTGATATATCGACCCTAGGGAGCCAGATATACGTTTTGGATGCATTAAGCCCGACTAAAATCGACTGTATGGATTTAGACTATGGGGGACTCGACGAGTTGTTCATACAACTCGGCTAGTTGGGTCGTGGTCCCCCAACCTTTTCAGTTACTGAGCAAACTCGTTGAGTCTAGAAGATGACTCGACGAGTTGGCCATGGTTTGGGTTATGAAGATTGAGGAACTCGGCGAGTGCAAGGAGGGACTTGGCGAGTTGTGGGTAAAAGGTCCCGACTATGCTTTGAGGATGAACTCGACGAGTTCATGAAAGGACTCGACGAGTAGGATTGGGATTTCAGGGTTTTATGGATTATGGAACTCGACGAGTTGATGGACCAACTCGGCGAGTTGAGTCAACCCGGATGTTGACTTTGACCTTGACCGTTGACCAGAGTTGACCCGTAAAGGGGATTATGAGTATGAAAGAGTAATTAAAGGAGATTGTTATGTGTAGGAGTTTGAGAGGAGTTGATCCCAAAGCCGAGGACAGTACAACTACTTCACGACATCTAGGTGAGTTACCTTCCAGTCGAAGTAGGTCTAAGGCCATAATTGTAACGCCCCGACTCTCAGGTATAAACTTTCAGTCTTGTATTTCCAACTTTTAAGGTCGACTCGACGAGTTGGATGCCCCGATTCGTCGAGTATGCACGGTTTTGGTCGCGGGTCTTAAGTGACCGACTCGGCGAGTAGGAGCTGAAGGATGAAACCCTAATTTTTGGGGTTTCACACCCTATTTAAAGGATCATTAGCCTACCTTGGCCTCCCCTCACCGTCCCCTTGAGCTCTGAAACCCTAATTCGTGTGTGTGCCCCATTTAGTGTGATTTTTCAAGTTTGAAAGGAAGATTTTTTTGCAAGGAGCTTGAAGATCCAGAAGTGTGAGGCAAGGAACATGTGTAGATCTGAAGTCTACCCCAGTTTAGCATCATTTGAAGGTGGTGGAGTTTGTGTCAGTGATTCGAGAGTTTGTGTAACGACCCAAAAATCAAGGGTAAAAATTTCATTTTTAATTTAGCTAAAACATTGATACCATTTATTTCAAACATTTCAAATCATCGTTAACTAAATCATTTATTAGAGTTCATCCTAAAATCATTCATTGCGGAAATCATAGGTGTGTGCACTGCGATCAATCCGAGCTCTTCTTTTCCAAATCGATGATACCTGAAACAATAAACAAAACTGTAAGCATGAAGCTTAGTGAGTTCTCCAGAGCATACCCCACACAGTGCACATAATCACATAATCCATATTAGTTATAAAAGCTACATAAACCGTATCAATCACATAGTCATGCATATAAACATGTATGGATGTCGTGGGATCATCCCCAGGGTCTTACTCCAGGATGCCATGGGCTCCCCACATGGTCTTACACCTAAGTGTCATGGGCTCTCCCATGGTCTTTGATAGGAAAGCCATGGACTCTCCACATGGTCTTACATCCGAGTGTCATGGGCTCTCCCATGGTCTTCCATACAAATATCACAAAGACAACTAGCAGACCACATAATCACTAGCATACCACATATACATGTATACCAGACATATCAGTAGTGAATCTACAATAAACACTACAACATAGTAGGAAAGCCATGGGCTCTCCACATGGTCTTACATCCAGGTGCCATGGGCTCTCCCATGGTCTTCTATACAAGCATACCACATATACTGCTATTATCACACCCCCAAACCGGAACGGCGGCAACGTTCGGGGCGGAGGACGTCATGTTTAGTATCACAAGACATGCATCATAGTAATAAAAGTAACAAACAACCATTTCATTAGAAAGAAAGTGTTTACAAAGTATGTGATTCACATATGATAGACTACAAAAGTAAATAACAAAACAATACATGAAACTATTATGCTCCATCTTCTGTATCCTGGTGCGCGTACCTGTCTACTGGTCTCCTGAGAATACAAGTTATTTTGAAAGCGTAGATCAGCATTTAAGCTGGTGAGTTCATAAGATTTTAGTGATGTAAAGTAAGTTGACAGTTCTTTTAGAAAAGTTCGTCTGTTCCTCCAGAAAATCCTATATTTCCTGATCTGATGAAAGATAAGTAAAATGACTCTACAATCCTTTCTATGAGTACTAAACGAATACAAGTTATATAAAACCCAGAGTAAACAAACAATCGATTGTGTGTATCTGCCCTAAGCCCACAACCAAACAAGGAACAGGAAATGAGGCGGAAGGCACACATCCCACTGTTTGTTAGATCATCGTTTTATATAACCCTGACGTGTTCACTTGGTACTCACGGAGTTAACTGTAATAGTTCCTTTATTTTTTATGAAAACATTCTTTAAGAAAACCCTTATCTCTTTTAGTAAAAATAGTAACCACAATGGTTCCTTCTATAATCACTTCGTTTATACTAGCCATATATAATCTAATATCGAACAGATAGTTAATTGTGTGAATCTGCCCTAAGCCCACAACCAAACAAGGAACAGGAAGTAAGGCGGAAAACACACATCCAACTACCTATCGGGTATTAATTATATAACCCTGATGTATAAACTAAGGTATTA